AAGATGCGTTGACTCAGTTTTGAACTAATGATGACGACGATGACAGACAACCCTCTTATCAGACTCCCCTGCTTGTTGCACATCGACAATTCCCCTTTCCCCACCCATCCTCCTCCCTCCTTCTCCTCTTCCTCCCTTCATCTTCCTAGTAGTTCCAACGGCGCCTGCTTGTGCCCTTATTATTTTTTAGCGAGTCCTTTTCTGACCTTTCTCACAAAGCTCCTACCTTCCTCCCCTCTCCACTCCTTTCCTCTGTGCACCCATATGACTCCTTCTTGCTTCCCCAATTCCTCAGACTGCACTGAATATACCTGATGCCTGTAATTTGCAACATACCTGGCACTGCTTTGCAGCGCTTCCTGTCCCCTTTTCGCGAACGAGCGCTACCTCCGAGTCGGTGAAGTTTTGAGCCTTTTCTTGGTAAGAGGAAAAGTTGGCGGACACTTGTTGCAGAAGCTCTGATCCACTTGCCACAAGGTCTGCCTCTTCTATCTCGTCCTTAACAGTGGCTGCCTGAATTGATGGGATTTGGACAAAATACTTCAGAGGTAGACAAAATCAAGAAAATAATTCAGCGTTCTCATGTTCTTGGAGCGCTAAATCTAGGAATTTGTTATTACACTCTCTGGACGAGTTTTGAACAGCTAGGTAGCAAAAGTACGATTTTCAGTTGAGATGAAAAATTTCGGACTTTCCTCTGAATTCAATCATCGTCATTGAGAATACATGTAGTTTTGAGGAATTGCAGCAAGCAAAGCAATCTTGGATGATTTCACTCACTTCGTTCATATGCGGTAAGGATGTCTCTTCCTTTACATTCTCACTTGGCTCGCTGTCCACACTCTCTGAACGTGGGTACATATCCATAAGTTCGAGGGAAGCGGACGACGGCGTTGAGATCTGTGGAAGCGACTGAAGATAACTGCAACCAGGAGACTGCACAAATTCGTTCCTCGCACTGCATCTCTCACAAAGACTGTTGCGATCCTTTGACACGGTAAATTTAATGCTTCGTTCTAACTGAAAGGGAATTTTAAAGAAGACAGACTGAAGCAATTTGACAAAGAATTTAACTTACCAGACAATTCATAATATCTGGCAGACCACTGATTGACGGCAACTCGACACAAATGTAAACGGCCATTCCTTCTCCCTGAACGGGTAAAAAGAGGTAACACAGGGGTTTGCTCTCAA